GTGTCTTCTTGCTGGAGACACGAGTCTAACGTTCACAGTTTCAACTCAGACAATAAAAAGGACTGCAAACTTGGTTGTCCAATATTAAATTTCCGTGTACGTCTGTGTCTATCAGACTTAGACATTAACTGCCTAATGTTCACACTCAAGTCTGATGTAACTACTGGTGTGTTCTATAGTACATCATGTGATTTATCGAATCTTAAGCATTTACCTTAATCGAAAACGTGATTTATTTGGCCGTCAAGCACTGCTCAGACGCCTGGAGTGGACGTTGAGGGGGACACATCCAACTGTGTTGAACTAGTCTATTAACATTTTTAAAGAAAACATGCCTATCTGTCATTTGGTGAGACAAAAGTTTCCAGCGACCGAAACGTAGGATATTAAACATGGCTTTTTCCAGTTTGCATCTTGGCCAAGCCCATGTCGATGGAATCGTACAGAAACCCTTCTTTTCATTTCAGTGCGCGTCTATGAAATGTAAATAGGTATATTGTAATAATCTCTTTGGCTGTTCGTATTTTAGTGGCAAGGTGCTACTATAGTAACCAGCCGAGTTGTTGAATGAGCGTGGTAAATCCTTTGTAGTTTGGAAACTATTTATGGGAAATGATCGCTTCTATGCTTGTAACTCACCATGGTAGTGGACGACCTTGCATTTCAGGATTAACCAGTTCTCATCCGGTTGGATATTGTTCTGCAGGTGCGAATCCTCAATGTCCCTAGGATTAACACAAAGTTCCTTACTCACAATTCAATTTCTTGCTGAAATTAGAACCTGCCTCCTGCTTGGTGCGCCAATAAGTGCGAACTGTTTGTTAGTCAGCTAAACAGTATGTAAAAGGTAAGGAAATGGTTTAAAGAAATACCGTCGGCAAGAATTAAAATATATATTCACGTTAACGTATTTGGCAATCGAGAGACTACCACACTGTTAACACAATCAAGGATAATACAATGACAGCCAACATTCTTAACCGAAACTTATTTATGTTCATGAACAACCATAGAGCAAACAAATATTCTTATGGTTCATTGAGGTAATCACGTAGGTCTGTGAAAGGTCTAGATTTGATTGATCCATTTTACCTTACGTCCGTTACTAAGCCAGACTTTCCTTGTGCTAATATAACATCATCTGGCTTAAATGAAGTTATTCTATTATTCCTAAGCATAATTACTTGTTTCTCTAGGTCTGACTTAACGATTGTTTGAATCGTAATAGCCGATATGGTGGCTTGAAGCCTAACAGAGATATGTTCTCTGCATAAAGCTGCTCGGCTTGGTTACAGCGGAATCACTAAACACTGGCTTCTTAATATACCTCAAATGAGAATGAGGAAAAGAATCCAAAGCTCAATGTGAACCAACGTCATCGGACAGGTTCTTCAACAAATGCACATTATAAACTAAGTTTTCCTGTCAACTTCATTGTAGAATTATGGTCTACTTCGTTATTAGTCCTATTATAATAATAGACCTAATAGTGAAATTTGTATCATTGTCTATTCTGACTAGTCGTATCGTAAAAATCCGCGATATAACGATCGGCGTTTGTAAAGAACACATCTAAGCTAAAGATAGAATAGTATATTTAATGTAAAGACACGTTATACAGAATGACTACATCTGCAAGGCTAAGCCATGTGTTCTGATTGAAGTTAATTGAATTAAATATTCACGCCTTCATCATTGTTGACCTTCTCTCCATGTTAAATCTTGGATATCTATTTTCCCAGTTATTTCGTGCTGGTTAGGACTAATGCCAATACAACACCACTTACATTCCTTAAGAAAATTAAACGACTCAATTCCAAACGATCCCATCGCTCTATTATGTAATCCTGAATGAGCTGACGAATAAGTCGCTAATGCTAAACGCTTAAACGTAAGGTACGAAGGTTATGGTAAACAATGTTAAAGAATTACGAGGCCTAAATACAAGAGAAACAATCGGCGCTCTATCGCTTTCCATACTAAGGCGAAGTCTAATGTTCTACATTGACGCCGAAAGTCGGAAGGAATACTTAGTACATGCCTTGATATCAACTTATTTATATCCCTAATTACGTATTTGTTTATGTTTCTTAGTCTTTCATGAAAAAAGCTACCCATATATTGACCAGTTTCTTCATCATACCTAAGTAAAGCATGTGGATTGGATATAAACAGAAAGTTGAGATCATATTAATGCCAAGCGTTCGGAATCGGAAAGGCTTTGATGGTGAGTGTATTGAATCTACTGACGAAAACTATCATCAATTATCAATGTGTATTCACCATATGGAAAGGTCACCTGTCCGTCAAGGCGATGTTCCACTACAACACGCCTAACTCAACCTGCACTCCCATTGTTATTAACAGTTACTAGTTAGATAGCTATGTAGTTGTTGATCATAATAATGGGCAGAACTACGTCTCTCGATTATTTTAGCCCCGAAATGGTATCCGCGGATATTTCGTTGGATTCTGCCGGTTTATTGTTTCTCCATGGACAGGTATAATGATCACGTCAATAAACCCAGGGACAACGATTCATCTTACTATAGTCCATAAATGTTGACTGGACCTCTTTGAAATAAAAAGCAAATACAAAATAATGTTCGAATTCAACGTATCTAGATCACAAAAATAGAAATAACGTTCAAAATATATATTAGCCGACTGGTTTTCAATCCGAGACGGTAGTAAAGCTTACTTCTAATGAACTTCGGTTGGATACTTGTACATGTCCGCACGACACTTCTGATGCTACTAGGTAAGTCAGGAACAAGATCTCGAAGCTCATTCAGAAGGCGATCGGCATCTTTGATGATTCGAAGGCCATTTGCCACAAAATTCATCAAAGCCATTTTGACCCGTTCTTTCCTGTTTAAGGAAGTTTGTGAACACAAGCAAACGTCATTACATCCTATAAGAAATGAATGGACGCGTTCACTTTTTTCGCGCACCATTATCATCCAGCAGCCTTTTATTGTTGTGGCTACCGGAGGCTATCACAGTTGACAGATCCTCATTACAACTAAATTCAGTGTTAACTGCTAATAATCCGAAATAGATCACAGATAAAGACAAATACTGTAGATCGTGCTTTCATCAGCAACGTGACTTTTTTTCATGAAGGTGGTTCGTAACTTGTTCCACCTTCGTTTATATGTCAATCTGTGACAACCAAGGACGCTTAACATGTTCACTGTTGCCCTACGTCTAGGAACAATCTCAAGGATTGTTACCGCATTCATCTTAAGGGACAAACGGGGATATCAGTGATAAGCACACGAGCACACACAGAGCGCATCACTCACTTGCATGTCGCGAGCTATTTGTGATTGCCATCAGGGATGTCCGAACAATCTGGTCAAGTAAACATCATCTCAGGAAATTTCCTGAGTCTCCATATTTAGATATGTTTTAATGAAAAGTGTTCTCATTTTTCACTAAACAGTATGTCGTTTTGTAGAGGTTTATGAAAAAGTAAGTACAGAACGAGGAATGATCGAACGGGGTACTTTATACATGTTTGCTCATTAATATAGACGCATCAGAATCCAAACCATGTGGGAGGACCAATCAAACAGTTATGAAAATAAGGAAAAAAAGCTTAGTGGTTCTCGTAATAAGTGATACCCCTTGGACCCAAGCTGGACAGAAGGGATTAACTTCGGGAGAAGTGCTGTTGTACTCCGGCCATCAAGGAGAAATGTTTGGCACACACAAGTATTTGTACTGATAGTGTTCAAAGAAATACAAAAAGTGCTTATAGGATGGGAATTTCATGAACCTAGGATCATCAAAGTATCTTGCAAAACAAAGGAGGGGATCACAGTGAATGTTATCCAGTGCTATGCACCTACAAATGATAGCACTGAGGATGATAAAGACCAGTTTTTAAGAGGTTCCAGTCGATCATAGAGGTGTCCAATGAACGGCCTGACCATCCTGATGGGAGACCTAAATGCCAAAGTCGGATTGAACGACACCGTATATGAAGACATCATGGGACGACATTGACTAGGAGGAACAAACGAAAATGGTGAGATATTCGCAAACCTATGTGCCTTCAATAAACTGGTCATAGGCGGCACTATATTTTCACATAAACGCATACGCAAAGCCTCATGGACTTCATCGGATCACACTACACATAACCAAATCTGCATCCACAAGAAGTTCAGGAGGACGATGGAGGATGTGAGAACCGAGAGGGGTTGATATAGCATCAGAGCATCAATCACTGGTCGCCAAGATCAAATCGAAACTTAAGAAACACTGGAGAACGGGGCGGACAACATCATAAAGGTTTATTACGGCTTTTCCTCAAGATACTGACAAACTCAACGAATTCAGGATGGTCCTCAGTAAAGGGTTCTAGGCCACTAGAAGCACCATCAAAAGGAATGAGTCACTGTTGATACACCGGATATGATTCAAGAAAGGAAATATATCAGCCGAACAAAAGCAGAGAAAGCTAAGGCACAAACTGAATACACAAAATACCTCGGATCCGTTGGCTAGACATTACCTACTGTGGGAGAGGAAAATCAAAATTCCAGGAGGAAGAAGTGCTGGAAGTGGATAGGACACACATTAAGGAAAGCAGCCAACTACGTTACAAGGCACGCTCTCACTGGGAATCCTCAAGGCCAAAAGAGAAGAGGAAGACCAAAGATCACATTACGCCGAGAAATGAAGACGGACATGAGAGGAACGACCAACAACTGGATAGAAGTAGAAAGGAAGGCCCAGGATAGAATGGGTTGGAGAATGCTGGTCGGCGGCATATGCTGCATTGTGAGTAACAGGAGTAGGTAAGTAATTAGTCTCACTGAAAATATATGTAAAATCGGAAACGTAGGTTTGTGACAAATCCCAATAAAACTTACATAAGTAAAATATTGTATCTCAGACACTTAAATTGTGAACACTGACAAAACGAAATAGCAGTTGGACTAGTTCATTGTAGGCTATAATTTACATAATGTACCAAAATAAATAATCGGGCAAAACAAGTATATTTTGGTAAGAGATAACTTTATGGGTTTAAAATATGTATTTGTTTTACAAGATTAGATGGACTATCAGGTTTTAAAAACACAGTATTTCGTGTACATAAATCTATTTGAGCAAGAGCTGATTCAATTTGTTCCTGTACAGATGAATCCTTTTCAATGATTCGACGCGTTGACAATAGCCTATGAAGGTCACGAATCACATCAGATGGAATCCATGGGGGTAATTCGGTGGTACTAGTTTCTGGTAAGAATAAAGAGCGTGCTAAATATGCTGAAGCTTTACGAACTACATTTGATACATCTTGAGATAAATGAAATTCGATCAACAAAAAAATCTGTAAGGACAGAATAAAATAGAAATAATAGAAAAAAACTAGGAGAAACTGTAAAAAGCATTTAGTATTTCTTATCTGAATAAACATTCAACGTATTCATGTGACAACCATCAGCAATTACGGCTACTCATTTCGTTTATACATAAAGCTAAAGTAGAGGATTAGAAAAAGCGAATAAGAAAAAATCACGTCCAAACATCATTATTATTCTTGTCTACTCAAAACAAAGAAGAGAAGCAGGTTCGTGGCTAGTGCAGATGATTTTCGACCAGAAAAACTAAGATAAAACGCTAACTTTAATAGCTTTCTGAATGAGAATGCAAACAAATCAGCAGTTCAATCCTTGAACACATGTTTAACTCCGGCCAAATGCCACCACGAGAATTGTGGTTCAAGATTATCAACATAGTTAAATGAACTAGCTCGAAAGAGATTTGGATTAGGAATTTGTGAACAGCTGAAACTATATAACAATTTGTCATTTTGAATCAAACCTCTTTGTACAAAAGAGTTAAGTTCAATCCCTTGTTCTTTCATGACCATAGCTTCCCTCCTAGTTTTACAAATTATAAACATTAATTATTATCTTACTAGTCAATTTCTTTACAATATGGGCAGTTGTATTTTTCATTTATTATATAGATTATTATTTACTAATACATATGACACCGTTACATAACTTCATTTTTTCGTAATCTTTGATCACTTTTTTAAATGATTCAGCCTCCATTTCATTCAATACTCGGAAACCTTCAGTAACTTTAATTACTTTGAAACAACCCTTTCATTTAAAAACTATTCTACTTAATACTTGACATCATTTTGTAATCTTTGACTACACTAAATTATGCAGGAACACTTAATTTTTATAAACTTTTACACTTGATCCCTAAACACATCTAGCTATCTATGTCCATTCTGTAATATTTTAACAGCTGAAGTTAGACAATAACAGCATTTGATGCCGGGTCAGTAGTCTAGAGGTTGGGCGTTAGCGCGAGACTGAGGATCATGAGTTCGAGTCCCGAGTGCAGGATCGTGGATGTGAAATACTGAGGAGCCCCATACTAGGATGGAACGACCGTCCAGTGCTTCCAGGTTTTCTATGGTAGTCTAGCTTAGATCAACTCGGAAATTCAATTGTTAAAATACTAGGACCTCCACAAGTTCCCATACTGATAATTTTGCAATATTTCTCTATTTTATCATGGATCACAATATGTAAAAAGTTACTTAGAAATACGACTATACAACTCAAGAAAACGATATCGTCGAAAAATATTTTTTCTTCGCCGAAACGCCTTCATTTCTCAATAAAAGAATTATAAAATATCTCAAGAGTAATAATAACAACTTTTTAAAATGTCAAACTTCGTGAAAACAGTCTGTGATAAAATATCAAGAGCTTTCATGAAGTTGAGTGTTCCAATGAGGAGATTTGCCACTATAAGTCCCAATTAGGATATTTAATCAAAGTTACATTACAGGAAATTAATTATACAGTTGATAGTATCATAATTGTTGCGAAATCTGAAAATCATGTTCATCTGATTTTTGAGGCCGTGTAAGAGCGAAACAGGTGTACATAAACTTATGGTTCATTTAATTGATGTTAAGCTGATGATTACAATTACCTTCTTAGAGATCGGGAAAACCTACTTACATTAGGATTTTCACCACAGAGCGACGAACTCTTTTAGAATAAACAAAGGACAACATTTTACTAGAAGAGTACGAATATTAATGAGGATGTCATAGATGAGATAACAGTTATGGTGTAAATGTTGATCTATTCGCACGGTAGGTTAGTATGACACTAAACGGCGAGAAGCAAAAATAATTTGAAGTCGAAATTCTATGGGGATTGTGCTATCGATATACTACTTACTTATGAATAGATAGAGGTATTTGCCACATCGAAGAAGTAACACTTTTAAAACTTTCGCTTAAATATCCATCTGTATTCACTTAAAACACTGATCACTCAATGCACAATTTATGAAGTTACGTATATCGTTCTTGTTTCACCTAATTACAAGTAATATTATATGATTGAATATGCAGTTTTAAAATCACTCAAATCTTTGACTAGCAAAAATATTTCGATTCATGATAAGCTGATTATCAGAGATAATAAGATAGAAACCACTCACTCACCTCATAAATGATTGGTTGAACAGAATATTTTAACAATCGAACAAGCTCAGCAATATTCGAAAGACAAGCTGCTCGTATTAACTCTTCAGATGACTTAGATCCCATGACAAAAGAGTTAAACACCTCTGTTCGATACTTTGGTGCCATTTCACCTTAAAATATCAATACAAATATTAATTTCTTTTTTTGAAGATTTAGCCCGAGACATATTTAAATGCATTAAAGTTTATATGATGAATGAAAGACAAAAACATAGAAAAACTACAGTTTGATACAATTCTGTCTTGGTTCAAATTCCAACAAGACAGTTGTGTTGAAAATTATCAAAGATAATAATTTGTAAAACACACACATAAACAAAGTTAAATGTATTCAAAGAAAAACAAAACAATTAACCTATAATTTATGATGAATTATTTTCGTAAATAACAATAAAAAGATTACCTAAATTTGACAAAACACGCATTATAGATTCAGCTAATTTCAATTTATATTCAATATCATAATCGCCAGTAGTACTAGTGACCATGGTACCAATAGAATTTGCTGGTTTATTGGTAGTCTGCACACTCTTAGTGAATTGATTTAACAATAGATTTAATACTTTGTCCGTTAATATACAGCCCATAGCTGATAGGCATCGAATCGCATTCAAATAAATATAACTATCTGTATGTGACAAATATTTAGTTAAAACCTAGATTAACAAAATATTTGAAAAAAATAAACGGTAGAAAATTGGGAATCACATCAAACAAACAAAAATCAAATGTAAGAATTGTACGTCTTTATTTATATTTTTTTGATGATCACGATGTTCTCATCGTTGGTTAGCTTCAAGATGAATGTCTTCAACAAAAAAGGGCTCTGATCGAATTACCTTGGTGATTACAATACCGAAGGCCACAGACTTAATGAAATCTGATCTAATCAGTAAACACCTCCCTAATTCATTTAATTACCAGAATTACATGTCAGTATGTAATGAATTATGGAAATAGTAACCAAATAATCGCAATAATATCTGTGATTTATGTATGAATAAACAAAGTGAAGCATTAAAATTACCTATGAGAAATTATTATAAGTAAAGAAAAGAGATATAGACCAGTTGGTTGTAACTTAAAAACCGAATGTTAGTGCGTAACTGAGTTTATTTACGAAATAGCATAAAATTTATTGGAAGAACAATTGAGTTATTTAGAGCAATTGGAATAATTTATAATCTTGTAATCAACAGCAGTACACTAAACGGTGCTAAAAATCACAAATAACTAAATCAGTTAATTACCAAGTCTAACATGATAAATCGAAAATAGTAAAGTTTTAGTAGTATGTGAATACACACATATGTGTGGGTGCAAAAACAAGAGGGAGATTTAAAAATGGACAGATAGTTTTAAAGGTATGCAATAATAAATGCCGAGTTTGAGTTATTAAAACCACTCGATTTGCAACTAACGGATTAGAGTCCTCCTTCATTTAATTAGGTTTAGATACTTGAGTAGTACAGTTTCATCAAAGAGGATTTGAGAAGGGTTGAACTGTCAGAACTAGTCTAAGGAAAAATATTATTTATACCTTCACTGCGTAATTGTGAGCCGCTCGGATCGTTGTACTTTGTATTTTCGTCTTCCGATCAGAAGGTGCACATGGCGGTGTGTACTACTTGTACGGACAGATATAAGTAGTATCTATCAGTCATTGAGAGTAGACTTCTAACGGATAGGAGAGGAAACCAGGGAACAATCGAAATAAAAACAGGAATTAAAAAACAACGGAGTTTGTAAGGGACAACTCTCAGAAGATCGGCAAATAATATATTTAGTGTATTGTTTTCATATTTCACAAATGCAGTGTGTGGTTTCGCACAATACAATAAATCAGCTTGCTACTCAAGACTTCATTCATTACACTGTAACTGTTTACGATAACTGAGCCATTGGTTAAGAGAAGTTTGTTGTGTTATTAGACACAAAGGTTACTAATCTTAAGGGAAATATGGGCGAATAAATCGATAGTCTGACTGAGTAATACAATAGCTCCCATAACAAATGGCGTAATTATACAGGTAAACACTACAATCCAAGAACATGTTCGTCTTGAAGGTACAACAAGCACTATCGAACTCCACAAAACTAATAAGGTTCAGAGTTGGTAAATCGAACCAAATTTAAAATAACTGTAGAAAAGATGCTCCACACAAACCGAAAGATTACGACAGGATTTATCGATAGAATTTCTAGAATAACGTGACATAGTAATGAAATTCAAAACCATCGTTTTGTCTTAAAAAGTGATAAGGGTCTTCAGAATTTAAATTCGGGATTTTAGAAAACCACTTTCGTTTCAAAAGATTGTATCATCTGAAAGCTCTTTATTTCACCCGAGGACTTTGTATAAGTGGTAAGTGAAAGGTATAGTGTAGCTACATCAAACGATAAAGATGAAGTTTAAAGAAACTCACTTCAAATATGAGTTGTTCATGGCCCCAAATACATGAATCTCTGGATTCTAACAATCGACTAAGCACAATCAATGCATGGCCTTGGACAGGAATCAAAGGATCATGTAATTCTTCGAAAATCTTTTTCAAAGTTGGATCCTCTAGCTGATTGCAAGCAGACTGCTGCACATCCTGGGGGTTGGAGACAGTAACTTCTTCGATAATTTTTCGAGGACATTCTGATTGATGGGTTTCAGCTTTTACGTTGTCAAAATTACATCTAAGGTGAATAAAAAAATTCAATGTACCACAGTAAACTTTTAAATAATTTTTTTTAAAAATCTTACTGGTTTTATTAAGGCAGCACATGACTAAATTCACTTGTGAGACTAAGTGATCAATCAAATGAGAACATTTAAGTTACCAACACTTCTTATCACAAGACAACAGAAACTTGATAACTAGCAAAGTTCCACAGTAGATAAAATTGCATAGTTGTCTTTTCGAATACATAGTGGTAATTATATAGAAGCGTCATGGATTTACTATGTAAGAGAAGATTTTCAGTTTAATCGAATTCGGGTGTGTTTGAATTGCTTTCATGTATTATACAAGCTTAATAGCCTTTGAAGCCAAAAGCCATTATTTAGAACCTACATATGCATTTCAACAGAATAAGCTTTAATGAACTAAACATCACTGGCAAATATAAGGCTCGTTTTCACTAAAACCTGAAACTAAACTTATCTTCAAGTAGACACACGTGTGCATACTGAAAGAAATAAAGCTACCAGGCTAAACGAAACCAATAAATACTACACAATAAGACTACATTCTACTACAATCAAGTATGAAAAAAAGGTTCATAAAAACTTTCATGACATTTAACCTATAATTTGGAAGTGACAATAGCCAACCATTGAAACTCTTTCTTGTCATCATGCTCACAGTTTAACTGGTTCATAAAACATGTGGCGATCTCCAGCACTGGAGTATTACAAGTGTAACATTTTATTATCTTTACTAGAATATAAAGAATAAGACGATAGTACAACCTTATTGATGGATTAAGAAATATCACTAGATCTTACACCTTACATTGTTAGAGAGTCAACCAAGAGTAAGAATATTGATTGATCCAGTATGATAATCGTTCACTTAGACATGTGATTGAATTCGGTAAAATTCAGTTATCAAATATTTGATGATATTCTGACAATTATTTCACTCAGATTTAATGTGTACATAATAAAATTTGTTTAGTTCATAATTACTTACGCCGGTTACCTTTCGTGGAGCATAGGCTGCCCACCAGGACACTCTAGCCTAATCTTTCCTGGGCATAGGTCATAGTTATTTAAATATAATAATCACTGAAAAGCGTATATGTATATAAAATATTTTTTTACGAAACGATTTATTTCTTCTAACCTAGGATATTTTTTCTTAATAGTTGAAAGTTGAGTTAAAAGTATCAGTGACATGGTGTTGAAGGACAATCGCGGGTGTTCATCATCTCCTTAACATCACCAATCGCGTATCAAGATTCAAGTTACAACATCGGCATCAAATTCCCTGATTGAAGATAAACACATCACTGTAACACAATCTATGTTTTATAAATATTTCATTTCATATAAAGATCAATCATTATTGTTTATAAAAACAGAACATCTCAAGAGGTAATTTTAATTAGAATAGAACAATCGAGATTTTATCACTATCGGTGGGAAGTGAGACTGAAGTTTGAAACTGTCATGTAAGTAATAAATTTGAGAAATCATCTGAATAAATAAATAAGATCACATTTTTCACTACAACTTATAATGAATACAATCGTAAAGTTCCTTCCAATAACTGAAATTTGGACGGAAAGCCTATCAATATGATTTTAAACAGGTTCTTAATAGTGATTCTATTAGAATACTGAAACTCACTTGGTAAAATACAAATTATTTACAGACGTAGTTGAAAAAGAATCATGACAAGGAATAGCTCCACGTGTGGCTAATGTAACTTTAATGCATTTTAGAAGATTTAAAGTTGAATTGCCCATTGAGTGTGATAGAGAGTTGATAACAAGTTCCAACTTATTTAAAATTGGCAATAAACGACCGAATTCATCTCGAGCAGTTATTATTTCATTATCTCTAGTAGACTATGTTTAAAATGCATATACAAGAAATTAAAAATTTCTGAAGTCAATAAACAAAGGTGTGCAAAATATCGAATTAAAATATTAGCGATAAGAATTGAACAACATAAATATATCTCATAGAAAAAGTACAGTTAGTAAGGCAATCGATATTACGTAAATAGTTCTCTGAATATTTACCACGATTATTAGTTTATTGAATCACGATATTTCTGAATTACTACATGGAATACCTTAAGAATAAGTAATTCCTTTATATGGGTGTTGTCATATTGGTGATATTTAACAACACTTTTCATTTTAATTGAGATTTATAAGGATATTCAAATGCAGCTGTGAATGTAGTTAAAGACCTCAATTTTAAATCAACGGATGATAGTTTTGAAATAAAAGCAGTTTTATTCAGTACAGAGATTTGTATATTATCACTAAGCTTCATACAGTATGACTCAAAAACAAGTATATAGATCTGTAATTAGAAAAACGAGCTGAAATGTGCAAGCATATTTAAGTGAAGTTTACAACATGGATGATAAGTGCATGTAATTGGTCATGAAACGGCTTTCATTTCTAAAGGATGAGGTATAAATTATTGGTGGCTCAGTTTCCGAAATTATGGCTTGAGGCCTATTAAATATCACGTGATTTATTCACCAACCAAAATACGACTTATAAAATCTTAACACTGTACCAAACCAATGACGTTCGACCGGTATGAATAGCATAGCATCCTTATTGGTACCCTGTCTTCCCAGCCATTCCAGTTAAGTTCACAACACCAGCTTCCGCTAAGCGAATCATTTATTTCAAACATACTTGGTTTATATACCAGCCAATTAGACCACATCACGCCATAAACTAGGAAATAACATTTGTACAAGATCAATCCAAAAAGTGGCTGTAATAGACTTGGCATAACTCAAGAACAGTAAATCGTATAATAATAGTCTATATGTCAAAATAAAGCTTATAATAAAAGGAATACAGATATATACAATCTAGTTACTGAGAAGTTACACAATTGGAATATATATAATATTAGTCCAGTGAGAGTTTTCAGAAGTTACCCGTAATTTAACTTTCAATAGGATATAACAGAAGAGGTATATATATATGAGTGATCACGCAAATAATTTAGTTTAGCCAAAAGACTTCCTTTCTGATCCCCGGTCTTTTTTCTTGAAAAGCCGGTTGGGGTTGTGTACAAGAAGAGTGAACATTGTACGTCAAAGTGATTAATCTCACAAATCAGGCGGAAAAAATTTATTGCCATATGAACTGTGTGTAATAGACTTAATACGAGCATAAAATCTAGATAACAGAAATACTTACCCCAAGTTTATTAGCATAAAAGGCTAAGATTCCTAGCAATTGACTTAACATTTGATATAAAAACTCCACATGTTCATGATTTTCAGCATGTTGAAGTAAACAACAGAAACGATGGAACAATGCCTAAAATATATGAACACAAAAGAAAAACATAAATACCGAAGGCGTTTACATGAAATAATAATTATAAAATTTCCATATCAGTAAACTGATTGTAACACAATCTAGTTTCCGTGTAATAATTATTCAAAAGAATTATAATTACTGAGTGATTACATAACTGAGAGACGGATCAAACCGTATATGTTTGTTATAACTTGTGACCTGTGTGCCCACTTAATGTATACGTAATGATACCGCCAATTAGAGAGCAGTGACTTATCGATCGGACCAATGACGCATAGAACCCGTACGAACAGTCTAGAGTCCTGATTGGTCCTGCTTCGTGCCTAACCCAGCCAGTTAAGTCCAGAACGCAAATCTCAGCCTCTGCAATATGAATCATTTGTTTCGAGCATACTGGGTTTATATACCAATCAAACAGACAACACTGTACCATAAAATAGGAAACAACATTTGTACAAGATTTAGCCAAATGTGGCTGTGAGTGTGTGAGGTAATAATTAATAGACAGGGCATAATTCAAGAATGGTAAATCGTATAATAATAGTTCATAGGTAAATATGAAGCTCATAATAAGAGAGACATGAATATGAACAGTTTAGTTATTTAACAATTACATGATAAAAGTCTACGCATAGTATTGGTCCATAAGTGGATCCCAAAAGTTACCATTCATTATGCTTATCGGGATATAACAATGTTCATGTACCTTCTATTCACAATTAACAGATAATTCCCATTTAGACATTAAAATTAAAACACGAATTTCAGCAAAGGGATCTCTTTTCAACGAATTTATTATCAAAAACAAAAAAATTTCATATATATACGATTGTACAGCTTGATAATAAATTCGTTGAAAAGAGATCCCTTCGCTGAAATTCGTGTTTTAATTTTAATATTCACAATTAGTTGAATGACCTTCTGGAATGGATGTAAGTAATGGTGGCGTGAATCTGTTGCCTGGAGAAAGACTTCTTGACCTTTAGTATGTGGATGACATTGTCCAACTGCGCTATGATATCAAAGTGATATGATGGGAAAAAAAGTCAATTTTCCATTGATTTACTCATTATGAGTTTTGTTCAAGGTTACTTCCGTTTGATTCAATGTAATGATTGCTCAATGTAGTATTTGTTTTCTTTTCTCGTATGATATTTTATTCTGTATAATATGCAATATTCTTGTATCCCATTGACATGAACTATGCTCAGTATGTGATTTGTTGTAACTCTAAGTATTTTTCATATTTGTGATTTCATCCTAATTATTAATCAAAACGGGTCTACAATCAATATATAAATGAGTGTATTTTCTGCTAGAGTCGTGTTTTGGGGTTAATAAATCATCACTTATGCCAGTCTTTGTGTTCTTACTTTCGCGTCGTGGGAATTACAGAGGTCCCTCGTTCCGAGTATGAGTGATAAGCGTTTCCGACATAACAATCAGCGACGACCAGACACAAAAAGTAGCATTAAAAGAGCCAAGACAATAAGTATTCAAACGACAAGTTATAACACCAAGCCATGCAATCCGCACTTAATCAGTTGGGAATCAGTGTCCGTAGGTACGGCACGTGCTTTGCACCTTCCAAGTGCAAAGAACTTTTACAGGACTAGCGGGACCCTGGACCTGCACTCTGGGTAGCTGCACAAGTGCTGATGCTGGAGTGAGTGATGACATCAATTCACGTATAATGAAAACCAGAGCGGCTTATGACGACCTAGGCCATCTTTGGTACCTTCGTGATATTAATTTAGCTGCAAAAGACCGGATCTAAAACGCGTCGGTGAGAGCAGTTTTGCTCTATGCTTGTGAAACATTACCTCTTCGAGTTGAGGATATTAAACGGTTCTCTGGATTTAATCACTATCGCCTCCGAAGGATTGCCAACAATATGTTCGTAATGTAGAGAGTCCAGAATGTGCGCTCAGACACAGTGATGATAATTCAACTGGTGCCACCATATTGAAACCCCAACTTCAGTGGCTTAGACATGTCTTACGAATGTCGTTCCAGAAAATCCCATGTCGTGCATTATTTGCCGATGTCAGGACGGGTCGCGAAAAGCGGAAATGTGGTCAATGTATGACATGATGTCGTGGTATGAAAGCTATACACGAATGGCTTTTGTTGGTCATTCACAACTCTATGGTTGGGGTCGTAGAGGTGATACAACACAATAGCTAGAGACGTTATCAGACATGACTCAGAATAGAAGCAAGTGGTGATCCTGCTGTAACATTCATCATAAAAGTGAACGTAATTTCTTTAACTGAAAGAATTCTTTCTGGTTGTATTTTTGCTAACTGAACTGTTTCATTCTCATACACTAATTTCTGTTCATTGTTGTTCTTTTTTATTATACGCACTTTACACTTTTTATCTCTTTACAACCTTCTTGTTGTTGTGTGGTGCATTTATATTTGGCGCCTCCTTGTACCAATGTTTGTGTTCAAATAAATAAACTGTCCACGATAAAAAACTATCCATTGCAAACAGAGTGAATGAAAAAACAGGTGCGGAAATAAAGACGTTTGTTTAAATTTTATAATAATACAAGTTATTAGACCTGTCATCAATATCAATTTTAAGTTGTTACCAACAAACTACAGGTTGATAATAATAAATAATACATCCTATACAGATAGATAGTCCCATTATTACATTGAAAAAGACTACAAAATACAACCAATAAGGCTGGGATTTTAGTTACTAATTGGCAAATTTCTATGCAGTAGAAGGTAAATTAGATTTAATTTCTATGTAATTAATCACTTTCTATGATGTTTAAATGTGGACAAAATAAAATAAAATGTGATAGGTATTTGACAGATTAAACCAAAGAAGAATATTCAGATAATTTAGCAAATTCTCTTAATATACTATGTAATAATGTACCTAAAACTGTTCTTTTACAAATAAAGTTTAAAAGAAATATATTAATAAACACTTCAAATTACCTCAAATAAATTACAAGCTTGATTGATATCTTGAGGCCAAATTAAATCATCTAAACTTTCAATCATAGCAGAAGTAATCAATGAAGAAACAGTTCCAATCTCAATAATGTCTTTTTCATTCTGTGGTATAAGAGCTTCATTCATTGATTCAAAAATGGCTTGGAAAGTGAAATGTAAATCCTAAAGCATAAAATTAGATAGATAATTCAACAAAACATTAATAACAGTTAGTGAAATATGGCTTAGCTCACCTCTTAATGCAAAATTTCGACTGAATATGGAGACCAATCTTATGAAGTTAGAATAAATCATATTAAGTCAAAAGACTACTATTACATCATCAGCTAGATACACAAATTAGAAAGCCAATAGACTTGTAAGCACAAGGGAATTGATACCTTATATGTTGGCGACAAATGATGTGGTCTCGATTATCAGAAATACTGAGCTTCTTATTCATGTTACAGATAAACTACTATTCGTAGTGAGTGAGCCAATTACAACGTCGAACACCTGGTATGTATGTACATCGGTTCAAGTTGTCATACCCGATAATCACAGAGAGATGAAGTTGTCATTACAAATCCCAGAATATTAGAGGTAATAAGTGTCAGTGGTAATTGGAAAGATTAGTCATCAACGATATGATTTGAAAAGAAAATACAAATTCGTGGTATAAAAACAAAAAAAGTTATGAGGAATTTAGAATCTCAGGATTCGAGAGAAGACAAATAATAGATGCACCTGAGCTAACGCATACGATTTCGAGCCATGTCATTCAAACTTTCAAACCAGTAATTACGACAATCACGCGGACCCCAACCAGGTAGCTCATCAACATAGCTCAGTATTGTCAGCGACCTCATGGGCTGATGCCATGTTTTGATTTGGACGCCCCTAACTTTCTTTCGGCTTACTCATGAACCAAGAAATATTCTTTCGAGGTAGGCGGTGGTTGGGTATACGTAACACATGTCCAAACCACCTCAGCTGATGAAGATTTATTACCTCGACAATCTATTTCCCATCTTCACCTAGTACTCTATTCCTAACCCAGGCATTACTTACTTGTGATCCTAAAGTAAACGAACAATAATTCGTAAACACCTATGGCTGAATACCAGTAACCTACGAATATCCTTTATTCATAATGACCATGTATCACAACCATAAAGTAGAAAAGAAGCGAACTGCTGTCCAGTAAACAACTTAGAGAACAGAAAATAGAAGCTACAACCCCTGTAAATATCATTAATGAATTATTACCAAAATGTACTATGAACGTAAACTGCAGATTCAATGGCGAAATATATAGACAAATGTACAGCCGTTTGGTCGCAGTATGGGACACCTCAGTAGTGAGCATCCACGGTCCCGCGCACAGAACTCCAACCCTAAACGCTCTGTCTCGCGTGAGAACGCTTAACCTCTAGGCTACTGAGCTGGCATTCAACGGTTTTAATACCTAACTTCAACCAATCCACAATATCGTGCGACCATTTTTTATTGTTTTCGGTGGGTAACTACCTCACATCTGACAAGGTTAAACTAAACGATGGTCTAACATTGATTGATTCGTGATTTGAATGCAATTAGCGATTTTATTGTATTTTACAATCCTAGAGTCACATACTATAATCGCCTAAAAGCATGCCACTTTTGGGACTATTAATTTGGATATATAATTGTAGAACCTGAATAGAAGTTATTGAAAACGATATGATGGGAATTTTTCAAGGACGAGGAAATCCGCTTCCAGAAGGCGTTTACTACTAATACTCGAATATATGGCGGTTGGACCGAAATAGAAGAGCCTAAGATAGTGGATACGGTGTTTGTTGCCGCCATATTTCGTGTCATTCATACAATCAATTGCATGATGCTAATAGAAACAAAGATAAAGTTGTGGAAACCGAAAACTTTCGTAAATACCCATAGATTTAATTGACTACGTAAGACATCTAGATAAGAACGGCCAGACAAGTGTAGCGTTACTTTCTCCAGCATTATATAGCATGATAACGTAAAGATAACTAAATTGAATGGTCACACAAAAGCATCTACCATTATACAGTCCCAGTGAGAAGTTCTAGGTTTCCATGGTCAAACACAGAAAAGACAAAACTGACCAAACGTTTCCAACCAAGTACCAGCACAAAAAAAATACTAACTTGATTTTTAACAATAATCTTGCCTTTTGCAGAGAAAATGAATGCTCTTTTATAAAATATCAGTCTTTCTCTTTGTATTGTGTACGTGTGTTATTCCGAATATTTTCAGGTTCTGCTAGGATCGTTTACACACTAAAGTTAGTGTTCGGTTATTGCAACAGAGAATCAAAAGTAACATTATTTTATTTGAAGGTGATATTTTTGGAACATTTGAATTATGAATGTACGGCTACCAGACCATTGAATGTCAATTGAGTTTTAAATAAGAAAGATTAGTTCAGCGAAGAGTTCTCTTTTCGGCGAATTCATTTTCAAAGCTGTACAATCACAAATATATATATATACTTATTTTTACAGGATGATAATAATACTGATAATAAACTTGTTATCATCCTGTAAAATTAAGTATATATATATTTGCGACTGTACAGCTTTGAAAATGAATTCGCTGAAAAGAGAACTCTTCGCTGAACTAATCTCTCTTATTTAATGTTTTGATGGGTGTATTCCGTTTATTAAAATGTTGAGTTTTACTTTTTAATAGAGTGATACTGAAAGTGTGTTTTATAATAATTTAAACAATATTCAGTAGAACTTACTGTCAATAAACTCAGAAAAAGATCTGCATGAGTAGTGATCTCATTAATTTGATTTTTCTCATTTTGTTTTTCATCTATCAGAATATGCAAATGATGTCCAACTTGTTTATTAGAAGAATTATTTTGAAATGAAGATGGACTCATAAAAAATAGCAATGTGACAAGACTTTTGATACTGGAAGATAAATTCTGTATCCCATTAACAGTAGGTAATTTCTCGTTTATTATGACACAAGTATATGGTACATAGACTGAATTATGTTTTCTCATTGTAATTTTATCTAGAGATGTGGATGAAGATTCCATAGGCTGAACTTTGGATAATAATCTAAACATTAGATTTTCTTGACATGAATAAGCTGAAAGCCAATCAGTAGTGCTACTCATAATTGACACTTCATGTTGTAGTTCTGATGGCATAAATTTCAAGGATGGAGCAGGTAGATTAAACCAACTACGTATTAATGACAAACGATTGAGACGGGAATTCGAATCAGAAGATAACAGACGAGTAAGAATCCAGATTAAGCATTCTCTAAAAACGAAAAGTATAGTAACTTGGTTAACGGTAAAAATTTAATTTCAGTTTCGTAATAATATTGTAATATAATATGCAGGAATTTCAAACTCTTGATTACACAACGGAAGTAGTACAGTCCAGTGATGATTTAGAGGTGGTTTCATAAAACAAAGCCAAATGATGAAACTGTCTGTATTAGATGAAGTGTAGGAATGAAAGAAAAAAACGATTGATTTGTAGCTGTTTATTTACTCAATTTTAAGAAAATATAATCACTTATTATCGATACTAACTGATATGTCTAAAGCCGCACAAATAAACAACTGGTATAAAGATGTTAGTTTAACCTTATGATCAGACAATGAAGCTTAACTCAATGACTAAAAGATAACCGATGCTGATATGTTATGCCTTACATAAATCCAACTAAAAACCTAGAATAGTTTACTTATGTCTACTTTTAGACATTTTTTTGCAAATAAACTAGTTGTCCACATTTTTTAACAGGTGTACAATTAAAATATTAATCGTATCTAGTTGATATTATCATAACAAAATTAAATGGCATTAGATACTACAATACGGTAATCAGCCTAGACCTTAGAGACTGTTGAATCCTGCCAAGTAGATTTACAGCCCCGAAAAGAAGATACGTGACTGAAAAGTACGGTTCACTATACGTGTCGGATAGTGAAAGTTAATCGACAGGAAGTTCTAGGTCAAGATATTTTGATTGTTAGTACAACAGTAAGTGTTCTTTGTCGATTTCATTCAATGATATATAATATACGTATAATCTATTCATTCGTTATGGAATTGACATCAGCACCCACTACATTAACACAATCACTGTCTTTATGTTTGAAGTTAGTACTATCCAACAACAGATTCAGCTAAGAATAGGATTGTCATTATCAGCTTTTCAGTGCATATTTCCGAAATGCAACATGCTCTTCCATTTGTAACCGTCACACTTAAGCGCTCATTGAAATTATAAATTAATATTTTTGAGTAGATACGGTTGGTTGTTTAAATTAACACTGATAAATTTCGACAAAAGTCATTCTTCGTTCGAACTATAATCGTGTGAGTAGAATATTAGAGAGATACTTTTGAATTGTTTAATTCACAGAAGTTAACATCTCTTCGATGTATCGAATATTATTTATACCAATTTCGAAAATGTACAAACAAGAAAGCTGCATAAAAAATAGAACTTAGTGAGCACAAAGGTTTTAAGTCGACGGGAAAGTTCACAATATACAAAATGAAGCAAGCTAAGATAATCAACTAACTTGAGTGAAGTAAAGCTTTCTGAATCATTAACGTTATCTTCATCTTCAATTGTTTGTGCAAACAATAAAAATAATGGTCTAGACAATTTACATAATTCTGTTATAACAATTTGAGATGGCTCAGGACAATCCAACAGCTAATAGTTTAATAAATTGAGAAAAAAATCAAAATAAAGTTTGTAGGTATCAATGACAAAATTGGAATTGATAGTTTTGTGACTTAATGTAAGCAGCATCTTCAAAGTAAATAAGTAACCGAGATAAAATTAACAAAAGTTTAAATAGCGAGAAGAAAAATCTAGAGAAGTTATTGACATTGAATCATAAAACGTCAGAATTACAATTTTCTGTTCATTGGGACATAAAAAAATATACCTCTTATCAAAATGAAGTTATATATATGACTTTTGGTTAGAGGTAGGAATGTCACAAGACTTTTATTTAACAGCAATCGTCACAGACCTGAAAGATTGTAGTACATACACTTTTTATTGAGTCGGAAAAAATCATACTCATTTACTAAGTCAGTCAGCTACAACGTAGGACCAAGCACATATATGCATCGGTCCAAGTTGCCACACCTCATTAGCACAACAAAATCAACACCAAGTTAATATGCACAGTTACTTCAATGGCAGTAAAAAATCAACACTTCATATAAGGATATGATACAGAGAGAAAGAATTAACGCCGTAGAAAGAAATACATAAAATGATTTTAATCTCACGCTTTAAGTGAAAACAAAGAGTGTATACACCTACGCCATCGTGATCGATTCTCAGTCATGTCAAACAGAGTCTTCAACCATTGGTTACGATAAACGCACCAACCACAACCAGGTAGTCTGCATCTACCAACATGGCTCAGACTAGAATTTAGTAACTTCAAGGACTGATTCTATGTTTTGGTTTGTCCGCCCCTAACTTTCTTCCACCCATCCCCAACACTAGTCAGCATTTACCAAGTGTACAAGTGTTTATACCCAGGGACTTTCGGATGCAGCCTCATACGAGGAATGGTAGTTTCATTAACTTCTTAAAATCAAAATAGTTGGAGAGCGCATTCAAAGATATGACTCAGAAATCAGTTTACTTATATTTTTTAAATCAATTTCATGCGAAGATTACTGATTAAAGGTTACATTACTTACACTATACAGCACATATAAGAAATATATACACTGAAGTCTGATACATTTAATTTCTGATCTTTAACACTAAAACTGTTAAAGGAAAATATGTCACTAATCCATAAAGTCTATTATTACTGAGTTTCAAGCTATAGAAAATTGTTTGCTAACTGACAGATATGAAATGATAATAAGTTATCATGAACATAATTCTGACCAAATCGTCTAAATTCTACTTTCTAAAAAGCTATCAAAAAATACATTTATAAACTGTAAACATTAAACTGAGTAATATCTATGTATACAAAAATCACTATTATTGTCTGTTATCCAGAACTGTTTCCCGAATACAACAACACAAACTCACATATGACAGTGCACTGACCTATGTTGAGACGGTTTACAACGATTAGAAAAAAGAAATCAATAAAACTAAGAAATATCCCAAAACTTTCTTGTCTATCTTAATAATCTTAAATAGTGTATCTGATGTAATTGAAAAATTTAAATAATCATTGGTATTTATATTTAAATATCTGACAACTGAATTTTATTCTAGAGGTAGCTTAATTCATGAGCCCCCAAATGCCCTGGTATGGCCAAGGGTGGGGAGAGTCCGCACTACCTCTCAAACGGCCAGGCGTATACAGCCACTGCGAGGGTTACCCTACTCATTACCTTCTCGCAGCACGGGTGTTGTTTAGGAAAGTGACAACAAGAAAACAGAATGTCCGGCGCTTTAACCCGGTTGGTGGGTACGGAGGATCCACATAGGAAAGTTGTAAAACCCTGATTCCAAACCCATGGTGCACATGCGCCTCCGGGATCCTGAGGGAACAAATAGAGTGTGAACCTATTGTTGGTCACAGGCTACCATAGAACTGCATCTCTGAACATTGATCCACTGCTTTGTGGATTAGGCTTCTAGGTCATATGCTCGGGGTGTGGCCCCCTAATAAAACCACCTGCTTCAGTTTGGGTGTCCAGGCAGTATTCCAGTCCTCACACAAATTAAATAACGAAGTGTGGTGCATATATATTTGGTGGCTCCTTGTAACAATGTGTTTAAATAAATAAATAAAATAATTCATAATAAAGTATAAAATGTTTTTGAAAATTGTTTCGATTAATATATTATTTTATTAATTAGCTGGTTATTCTAATTATTGTCAGTATAGGTTCGTGAAGATTGTTGAATTTCATCGAAATCACGAACCTGTCCAAATGAGACGAACACTGGATGATCATTTTGTTCCATTATTTAACATTGATAATATAATAATTAAATATTCTAATTTATAAATCATAACCAACTGTGAATAATAGATGACAAAAAGAAATACAAGTTAATAATATTATTTACTTACATCTTTTATAATTTCTAGTAGCCAAGCTAGATCATGATGTGAAGCAAGTTGACATTTCGTGGTAAAATCAAATGCCAAGGCTGATAGAGGTGAGCACATTGAATTGGTTTTTTAGAAAATAGAAAGAAGTATTATTACTTAAAAATAAACAAAAAAGTGAATGTAAAGCAGCTTAGTTTACTAAAATACTCCCAACAAGAGGATAAAATACTTTACATGATACGTATTTATAGGGTGAAAAACGAATTCAGTGCATTCAGCTCTTAATTACTGAGGAAATCATGAATGGTCACATTTGAGTTTAAAAAAAAACTGTAGATATATGCATCACTATCAAATCGACAAAGATAATCTGATAATTTAATTTTACTCGAAAGGAATTAATTTTACGAATATATGCAAAACCTTATATCAAAACAGACTAAAATTAACTCATTAAACAAGAAAATATCTTTGTATTTGACCATCAGACACCTTTTTCTAGTGTGAGGATGAGTGAAACTACTACCCTGCCTAAAACTAAGATAGGTGGAGTGGACTTCGAAACTCGATCCAGTGGTTAAAACTCGACTTCTTCAACGCTAAACCTAGACAACTCAAAAAATTTCAGGTTTTTCATAAGATAAACCTAATGATTAATTGCTTATTCAGAAATAAATAAACAAAATCACTCGACACTTGAATACAAAACGACCAATGAAACATCCAGCCTGAATAGTAAATAATGGTTAAGAGATGGAGACATCAACTTCTGATTTCTACTTTTATCACTAAAAGAATAGAAATATCTTAATTTAACAAGATATAAAGGCCTTCAGTTTGATTTCAAGTAAACATCAATGAATAGTACTGATTAGTGGTAAACTAGGACAAAGAAGTTTCCTAGCATCTGGCTCTTGATATAAAATAACTATCATCCCACTGAAAATCATTTTTAAATAAAAATAGATTCACTTTATACTAGATATTTTTAAGTGAACGTTTACAAACCAGATTATATCTCATTTTTTAGTTAATTACAACGAGAAATTCTTATTGCTATTTAGCTTTTTCCATAAAAAAATGATTGCAGAAGTAAACTTAACAAATAGCTAAGAATATGCGATAGCAGATTTGTTTTAATAACTATATTCTATCTCATAATCATTCACGAAAGTAAATAAATGCAACAACACTAGCAATCTACTTGAGTGTGCGGTCAGCAAGTTTTCTTCCAAGAACTGGATTGAAACGAAAACGAAAAGAAGTATACTATGTGTAGCAATCATTAATATTTTAAATGTCAATACCGAAGCAACTTAAAAATCTAATTCTTTGTGATAAATAACAGAAATACGCCATTTTCAGTTAAGTATTCGTGGAGATTTACTGATCGCTGCAAACTAAAACTAAGTCTGATACAATAATATTTTACTACATGAGCAAAGAGTTGTAAGGCACAAATATGAAATAACACTTACTAAATCAGAGGTGAATAAATAATTCATGATATATTTACTGACAATTCAAGTCCTTTTCCCAACTGTATTTATTAATATCAAGTACAATTATTTAAGACTCATGACTATTCAAACCAAGCGAATAACTGATTATCTTTGCAAATACAGTCATTCAGTTAGTCATAGTCAACGTAAGAACAAACTAGTTTTGACTCACCCAACCAGCACAGGTGAAGTAATCAAAAAGATACTAAAGGTCTTTTATGGGAATTCTGGTTGGGAATATGTATTGTTAATTCTTGTGCTCATTTGGGAAAATTTCAGTATCGAGGCCAGAAAATACTAAACAACAGAATAGCACAACACAGGGAAGGATAGAAAATGAATGCAACTGCGCTACCATAATCGGAAATGTACCATATGATTCAGTTTTTACAACAACAGTCTACGACTATTGCACGGACCCTAACGATGAACTCTTTACATTTCAACATGGTTTAAACCAAAAGTTTGATCCCTTGACCTATCCAAATTTAGCTTATTTCCAGCTAACTAGTATGTCAGCTGATTGATTCACTTCTTTAACTAGTATTATTTTATTGCATATGACAGTTCGAAACCTGTCTTAATTCATGTAATTTCTAAGGGAATTTACAGCTCATAGATTCCTTCATTATTAGACCGTCAGTAACAAGTGTAGGATATTATTTTACTCAACAAAAAATTAAAGCTTATTTGTTGGTGTAAAAATCAGAACGATACAACACGAATTTTAGTTCATATTATTATTTTGTAGTAAATCGCTAATTATGGTACTATAATAATAGGAGATACGGCATTTTTCAAGTTAGGGATTTTCTTACATAACTTCACAAAAGATCAAAATCATGCTAATATTACAGTCTCTATTTATCATTTAAAATTCTTCTATAATTTGTTAACCATTTAAGTGGCGGTTAAATATAAATCTGTTCAGACAATAGTATCGAAAGTCTTGAAACCTGAACTAAGAAGGTAGAGCCTTGTAAAAATTTATCAGCTATTGCTTTGTTGTGTCATAAATCTCTTCAATACAAAAATGACATATGCAGAAACTGAATAGAAAATGTGAAAACTTACAGTTATCCTTTACTAACTCTTTTTCTGAGACAACTGAAGATATCTGACAAAATTTTCTTAATAACCCAATCAATGGCCAAAGTAACAATTTTTTACCAATATTATCATCATTACCATTAATTTCAGAAGATTTATGGCATAAATCATGCACTGATTTTATAGCGACATTATAAAAGAAATGAGCAACAGCTAATGAGTCCGTTTGAGTATTCGGCGTAGTATTATTCTTGGCATTGATTATTTCTAACAACTTTATAAACCAACAAAAACAAATGATTGAAAAAAAGGAGAGAATCAGTTATCTTTCTTATAATACAATACGACTTAATGAGCTCACATATAATTTAATTATTCACTACTGTAACTCACTAACCAAAAGCAAACTTAAACACTCGGCTTCGTGCTGGTGATGATACAACCCAGCTGTATAAACATTATAGTGTTTGAACATGCGACTGACAATATTCTGTGTGTTTAAGAGAAAGTTCAACGAAATTTAGAGTATATGGTAATAAGTACTTAATTCATATCATACTACTACCCAATCAAAGAAGGTGAGATGAAAACCTCTTAAAGAGCATAAGATATATAACTAATTACTGTTACATGTAACCATCCTTTGTGTTGACCAAGTTGTAAATTAACACTACGAGGAACACGATGAGATAAAATGCTCAAAAAGTCCCAATTACTGTAATAGTCGATGTATTTTGTTAGCAATGATAACCTGACGATACTGCACATGAATTTAAGCATTCGATTTTCAAAACAGATGTAGCAAAGACGTTTAGACAGTATGTTACAGATGATTTCATGATTCATCGAAAATGAATGCAAGATATGAAAACTGTTAAAATGAATGAAGAGAATACTAATCGACAGACAATATGTAATCATAAGACTTAACTGAGTAATGGATACTCAAGAGACAATGTAACTAACTAAAAAAACTTGAATAAATTGATATCAAAGACAAAACTACTAACAAGAACAGATCTCTGTTCTAATGAGACATGATTATATATATAAAGTAATAACGTAGAAATAAACATGATTAGATATCGCAAACAATAGAAGGGTGTTAGTTGTGTAGGCCACTTGCTTGCCACAGAATTAAGATCTGCTTTTTGGGCCGAAGTCTTGCTTATATTATCACAGGACCATTGATTTTTATACAATAAGTACGGTCCACAGCATGGTACATTTTATGGATTATCATACTTACCTTATTATGAGTAAAGATAGCAATCAAGTGACTAAAATGATTCAAGTGTAGTTGTATCTGAAAGTACAACTATACATAAAAGACAAAACTCTACAAAAGTTACTAGAAGTGAAGGATCAAAATAGGTGCTGATTAACGTCTCTTTTCCTATTAATACAAACAACATTCATAAATGTGGCAGATACCTGAACAGAAACTAATGAAAAATATTTTTCATAACTTGATCTACTGGCCAAATCATCCGAGGAATTATGAAGAAATTCGGGGATTGTTGTCAAAATATTCGCCAATGCTGAAATCATTTTTGGTTGAATACGTGGATCAATCGAAGTGATCGGACCAGTCGAAGGTAATATCCCAGGACAAAGAGACAGAGAGGCTAGTAACAAGCTTCTAACACCTAAATTGTGGGCATTTTCAGATTTTTCAACGTTCGTATTATTTATAACAACTGGATGGACCAACAAACGAGATAGTAAACGACCACAAGATTTACGTAACCAGACTGGTGCTTTGGGTAACTGAACAGCTCCCTTAATTTGAACAGCAAAGGAATAGATTAACAAAAACTGTTGTTAATGTACAATAGATTACTTATTAATCGACAGTTTAGCTGCCAAACAATAACAAATTATCTACTGAAAAAGTGGTAAACTGTAATGCGTCAAAACACTTATACCAAGGGACAACGTTAAGCAAAAAATCACTCAGAAGCGATCATCAATTAACATTAGGAAAAACTATCAAAGTAATGAGAAAATGTTTGGAAGTTCAAGTGCTGGGTAGTGGATAGTTGAGAGAGACTAAGTATCCACTTACCTCCTTAATTATTTAAAAAACAAGCACTTGTGCAAATAGGCATCAAAATAAATATGCTCCAAACAAATAATTAAATGAAATTGTGAGATAAAGAAAAGATGATTAGTTATCGATAAAATTAAATAAATAAGTGTTATAAAGCTCAGTTTTTCTTCGTCTTTACGAATGGGATGTTAATTTGTCTTAGACAAATATCTACACTAGATTCCCTCCCAGTGTCTATTCTACAGGACTTCAACACAACTCAGATCAGGAACACGTGATTAGCCTGACTAAAACGTAAATATATTTCCACACCGAAAATCGATAGCAATCCGACACAATTCAACAATAACCAATAATAAGGATAGGAGAATATATAACTCATCTAACGCCTATCAGACTATCTACAAGTCTGGCTAAGCAAACAACCAATCACTATCATTCTCGCCCACACATCAATGAGAGAGAAGAGTTTGTAGTAAGAAAAAGTTCAGTTCATGAAAAAACGCAACCAAGGAGAATTTGTTGACTTAGTGGAATGCAAAAGAAAACTGCAGAAGAATCGCTATTGTTTTTATTCTAAGATATATCTGGTAACGTCTCTAGCCATCATTTTTAAAACTTTAACCAGACAATCATGACAGATCGGCGGGTGTCAGTGATATACAGCTTTTTCCATAGTACGGCATCATGTCGTGAACAGTGGCTAAGTGGTAAATGCACAAACCCATTTCACCTACTATAGTTTGAGCAACCAGGTATTTTCATTAACCCTTATATCTAGAGAATGAGTTAATTAACTTGTTTTTTTTAATACGTCATAAGCTGACTACTTCTGTTTTTTCCCCATTTCGTCTTAGCACCCATAAACAATGCATGACGTAGAAACCAGTGGAATGACATCCTTAACGCATGTCCAAACCGGAGAAGCCCATGTCTCAAGATAGTGACAGCGACAGAATTATCGTCACTGTGCCCTAATATATAATGGATTGCAACTTCAGCTTCACAATTGTCCCATATTAATTCTAAAGGAGGTACCATGATGGGCGAAAATGAATGATCACTAGCTACATTGCCGGAACCATTTTTATTCTAAATCAGTTATTCGCTGTCTGACAAGTAGCCCCATTATACTATCTTGGTTGAATATATTGTATATAAATGATAGCTTTAATACTACGTTAGCTGCCAAACAGTCCTAACTTGTGGTAGCTATTTAACGAAGGTCTCGTTATCAAGTTATGAGTCCGATCACCTGAATTATTTTCCATATTTTATTAAATTGATGTGAATTTCGTAACGACTCACTAAATCTAAAACTGAATGCAAGAGATGAAATAAAAGTTTCATAAAACAACTGGAAACTGAAGAGTGGATGCGTTACATCAGAATCTACTAGTGCATCAAGTCACCTTGGGCACAATCAATAAAATCATAAGACTAAGGCTAAAAGAGATCGCAGTTGTTGTTTAGATATGAAATGACCAGCATCAACACAATTCTATTGTCCTATATAAATAGTCCCCGTTGTTGCTACCTTGACGTGGTGGTCGGGCTTGCCTATCGTGATGAAGCAACCGAGCTATACTGGCTGGAACAACCGTTCCTCAAGGTCCTACCATGTCAGACAGGTCAGTTGAAGAGCGGTAAGACTAAAAGCAACAAACCCAAGGTACGAAGGCGAAGTCGTACTGCTGACTGTACAGAGGTGTGACAGCAGTAAGGTGTTTCCTTCAGACAACCAGCATGACAGCGATGCTGCCTTTCCACAAGGAGGGGTGGGGTTAGAAAAGGTCGACCCTAAAAATGCACACCTCACCTTACCTCACGGATTTCCGTCTCCGGCGGTAAGGCTCTTTGAAGAACGGAGCTAACACGTCAAAAACCTTCCACGAAAAGGCCGTGCGCGACCGGCCTCAAGCAGTTGTCCCTTGGGCACTGCGGTCACGCTCTCAGGTCGCTGAGACCGCCTCTAATCCAATTTCCTTTTCAGGTACCTCCAGAAGAACCCTTCCACGGTGTGGGCAACCGGGAAGTGATAACCGTCCTCATACCTCTAACAGCACCCAAGACCACTGTATTCATAATCAACCTTCCTCTTCAATTCCTATTATTCCTCCTACATCGACTTTCAAACCTAAACTTCCTCCTTCGGCTTCTTCCTCAAGTGTCACCATAGCCAACGATTCTAGTGCTCAAAACTCTGTCCCAGGTCTACTGAAACCTCGCTCCAAACTACACATTGGAGCTTTCAACGTACGCACTCTATGTCAAATCGGTCAGCAGGCTTCCTTGGCTAAAACCCTAGAGTCTCTTTCCATCGATGTATGCTGTGTCTCCGAAACACGCATACAGGATTCGATGGCCAGCTCTCGTGGACTGGCAGGTCTGGACATAGCACTAAGCATGAGGGCGGAACAAGCACTGCTAGAGTGGATCCCCGTCAACAGTCGTCTATGTGCTGTTCGGTTAAACGGCTCCGTAAGAACTCGGAAGGATAGGGACACACGTCGTTGCCTTTTTGTCGTTTCTGCCTACGCTCCCACTGACTGCAGCTCAGATGATGTGAAAGATGAATTTTACAGAAAGCTTTCTGAACTTCTTCAGAAAGCTAAACGCTCAGACATAGTACTCGTAGGGGGTGACTTTAGTGCTCAGATAGGTAGCTTAAACCAAACAGAAAGGCATTTAGGTGGATATTTTAGCATTCCGGCACAGCGAACAGATAATGGTGACCGTCTGCTGCAACTGTGCTCAGACAATCGCTTATTTTTAGCAAACACAAATTTTAAGCATAAGGAAAGACATCGTCTAACATGGCGACCCCCTACACCAAACCAACGATGGACTCAAATAGACCATATTGCCATCAGTCATCGTTGGAGAGGGTCGGTAGAAGATTGTCGCTCATTCTGGAGTACCTGCTTGGACTCCGACCACACCCTAATACGGGCACGCATCTGCTTGCGCCTCACCGAACGCAAAAAAGCCACACTGAAAAGACCCATTAGAACTGAATTGAGTAACGAGAAATCCAAAAATAGGTTCCAAGAACAACTGAGTTCACACTTAGGTAGTTCTGAAGACGAGGCTGACCCAGATGTTGCTTGGAAAGACATACAAGCAGCTGTGGAAGCAGCAGTGACATCTATTAGCAACTTAAACCACAGAGTTTCAAAGAACCAGTGGATTTCTTCAAAGTCTATCACACTGATGGATTCTCGCAAACTCGTCCAATCAGGTTCCGAACATGATGAAGAGCGACAATAAATCAGATCTAGGTTAAGAAAAAGTCTAAGAAACGACCGTGAGCAGTGGTGGGCAACGAAAGCAAAAGAGATGGAAAAGGCAGCGACTATAGGGAACACAAGACAGCTTTACAGACTAATAAAAGAAACTAAAATTAATAAGTCAAGTGTAAGTGAGATTATATCGGAAAAAGACGATACACTCATCTGCTCCCAGTCCAGGCGTTTAGAACGATGGGCGGAACATTTCAGAGAACAGTTCAGCTGGCCTTCAGCTACTCTACAACTACCCTCCATTCCCAGACAGCGTGAATGGAACATTGAAGTAGGTCCCCCAACTCTTGCTGAAGTTCAAAAGGCTATAGATAATCTGAAACGAGGAAGGGCAGATGGTCCAGATGGACTGGCTCCAGAAGTCGTTAAGGATGGTGGTTCAATTTTAGCGATTAGGTTGACTAATATTTTAGCTAAGATCTGGGAGTTAGACGTTATTCCATCTGACTGGTCACAATCACTTATCGTCCCAATATATAAGAAAGAGTCAAAATCATCCTGTGAAAACCACAGAGGGATTAGTTTAACTAATATAATATCTAAAATACTAGCCTCGATAATTATCAGACGCCTAACTAAGACTCGTGAACTGCAAACACGAGAAAACCAAGCTGGCTTCAGACCTGGTCGCGGCTGCATCGACCACATATTCTCCATTCGTCAGGTTCTAGAACACAGGCATACTTATCGGCGTCCGACGATGGTGGTCTTTCTTGACTTAAAAGCAGCATTTGACTCGGTAGACCGCGAGATTCTGTGGCAGTGTCTGTCATTGAAAGGCGTACCCCAGAAGTACATAAACCTTGTAAAGGCTCTTCACTCGAACACTACTAGTCGAGTGAGAGCTTATGGCGAACTGTCATCTAGTTTTGCAACCTCAAGCGGTGTCCGTCAAGGCTGTCTACTTTCCCCATTTTTGTTTAACTTCATCATAGATCTACTGATGGAAATAACTTTCTCGTCGACTGAGTTCTCGGGTATTGATCTCCATCCAGGAGATCCACTTATCGACTTAGAATACGCAGATGACATAGTCCTGTTTGGTGAAGACGCTGACAAAATGCAGAGTCTTCTGGTAGCACTGAGCAACAATGCCAGGATGTTTGAAATGCGCTTCTCTCCCTCTAAATGCAAGTTGTTGCTTCAGGACTGGTCTGCGTTAGCACCTGAACTAAGGATAGGGAGTGAAGTAGTCGAACGCGTTGACAACTTCACTTATCTTGGAAGTCTGATCAGCCCTAATGGGTTGGTATCGGACGAAATCTCAGCACGAATTCGAAAAGCTCGTTTGGCTTTTGCCAACTTACGTCACCTGTGGCGAAGGCGAGATATCCGTCTATCAATAAAAGGACGAGTATAGTGCGCGGCAGTCCGTTCTGTCTTACTTTACGGCAGCGAAACATGGCCATTAAGAGTAGAAGACACTCGTAAGCTATTAGTATTTGACCACAGATGCCTTAGAAATATTGCTGGCGTCTGCTGGGATAACCGGGTAAGTAATAGTGAGGTTAGACGCAGGGTATTAGGGAATAATGGTTAATCAGTTGATGAGGTTATGAATCTTCATCGACTGAGATGGTTGGGCCACGTGTTACGTATGCCTGAACACCGATTACCACGACGTGCAATGCTATGCGGTATTGAAAATGGTTGGAAGAAAGTTAGGGGCGGCCAAAACAAAACGTGGCATCAGTGCTTGAAGTCACTAACTTCTAGTCTGAGCCATGTTGGTAGATGCAGACTACTTGGTTGGGGTCCGCGTGACTATCGTAACCAATGGTTGGAGACTCTTGGTGACATGGCTCAGAACCGATCACCATGGCGTCGGTGTATACACTCCCTGTCTTCCCTTAAACTATGAGATTAAAATCGCTTCATATCTTTCTTTCTACGAACCAATTCTTTCTGCTTGTACTATATCTCTATATGCAATCTTCTCTTATATATTACCACCTTTTACCTAACCACTGTTATGAATCCGGTGTTCATCTTGTTGTGCTGATGCGGTATGGCAACCTGGACCGATGCACACATGTGCCTGGTCCTACGTTGTAGCTGACTGACTGATATAAATAGTCAAGGCAAGGTAATAGTATACACGGTATTGCCTTATAGTTGCCTTTTTCCTGACCCGTTCCCACTGATTCATTACTATTTCTTGTTCTTTGACATCTATATAACTCTTTTTAATGCAGTGAATTTCCTTACGATTAGATTTCCTGAATTAATACTTTTGTTGAACAAATATGATGAAAAAAATAATAAGTTCAAACTGTATCAGATTAAAGGAAAACAATAGTTGTATATATTACAATTAAGGAATAAACTAACCTTAACACGAATTTGTGTACCACCTTGAAGAATCATTAATTCTTTCATTGCAATGTGACGTGGTAGCTCAAGCAACAGTTTCCAAAGAATTTTTCGAGATTCACGAATGTATGCCATTAACGAAGAAACTTTTTCCGAAGTGAAATCATTACTTCGTAAATATGAATCCATTCCGAAAGCAGATTGAAATAAACTTGCAATTAAATCACCCAGAAATGAAGTGGTGCTGACTAATCGTTGTAACTGAAAAGATTTAGACTCTCTCAAGGAAAGCAAACACTTGATAATCTACATAATAAATAATATAAAATGTAACGAACAGTTGTTTTGTTTGAAGACAAAGATATTTGAAAAAAGTGTCATAGTGTTATTTAAAGCGAGAAAATAAGTTTGGTGTATCGCGCTGGTAAATTTATTACATTACGATAATACATACTTGTAGTAGAAGTCGAGTTGGTGCAATTTAGTTACCAAGTACGAATTTATGCGTACAATGTTTGACAATACTCTAAGGTTAGAAAAATCACGTAGCTAAGTAAATTAAAGCAGAAAGTGTGAGATACGCACATGTAACTCATTTGTCCAACCAAGTACTCACTTATATCATTGAGCTGCTGTTTAGAACACAAACGTCGTTAAGAAATGTTTTTACAGTTTTTAAAAAAAACTTGCTTGTCAAGAAAGGGTTTATCACATGAATACTCGATCAAGATAAAGCTCTAATAAGAACAAATAACAATTTTCGACAAAAAACTAGACTCTGAATGTTAGATTTAGCTAAACTGCTAATTTATTTGCAGAAATCTTGAACTAAAAATCAAACGTTTAACTAGCGCCATCAATAAATTTGTGCTTTTTCATTGAACTTACTCTAACCTGCTTTTAAAAGTAATTGTACCTTATGAAGCTCTAAGTTAAATCATTTATTTGAATATACACAATTAGCCATAATACAGTTACTTCCAAAAAAGAACTTATCAGCTGATTGGGTATGAGCCACACACCAACTGCGAGCGCTAATGACACTACACGGCTGCACAAACCTTAGTAGATAGAGAAACATTCGAAACTGGAACCGAGTGGCTAAAAGTCGGACACCTTAACCACTAAGCCATCACTCCATTATTCTGATTCATCTGACAATCATTTTGTTAATTTTACTTCGTCAAGCCGTAGTATGAGATGGTGCTACTTTATTTAAGTATGATGCGTTTTTAGTCACTTATGTGACTATGTGACCAAATACAGATTCGTGTACCCAGCTTCGAGCTGGGTGATACTGATCGGCAGCCAGAACGGAGGTGAGATGGAGTTCGATATAGTAATTAATTGGTTGAAAGTCAAATGCACCAGTTCTTAAGCGATTGTTATGTAGAGAGTAAAATTGGAAAATTATGTATATGCTTTAATTACTGTATTCGTTTAGATGAGTATTCAAATAGCTTGATCAACCCACGTTTAATAATTTTTTAAGATTTCGAGACTACACGGCTGAGCATAAGTTGTAGTTGCAACTCTGGCTACTAGTATATGATTATCATTACATTAACAGTGGTTAAATATGATATGACGAGTTGTTAAGAAATTCTGAATATATGATGTTAGGAAAGAAGTAAACCACAGTATTTAGTGATGAAAATTTAACTAATGACTTAGTTAATTCAAGCTTCAGTGATATTATCTCTCCTTAAAGCGTAGCCCTAAATAAGACGCTCATAATACCTAAAATAGGGAACGGCAAAAAAATAGGAAGGCGCTGACTCCGTACTAATTAGAATGAGTCACTGGCTCTCATGGTGAAATAAAAACATCACTACGTGATAATCTAGGATTCGAAGATATATGTGCATAAAGCGACAAAAGATGGAAATTCTAGTCAGATATTGTATTCTCATTTTACAATTACATTTATATGTACTTTGCATATTATTTAAGCTCAAGATATTTCTGGCATGAATCGACAACCAGTAAAAGCATCCATAAACTACTCACAATTACCTTCATCAGTTTTTCAATTCTTTCTTCATCCTTTTCCTTCCGAGGACAGATGAACTTTTCATAATTTTCCAAACGCATACTTAAGGGCAATGAAACTCCGGTTTCTAAAAGCGGATAAACGCCATATGCGACAACAAATTGAAGGCATGAAGACAATTGTTTTTCCTGAAACACACTGAAAATAGGGATGTCAGCGTTATCGTTGGCTGCATTGCTTTCATATAAGTCATTACAAGCGTACAGAAAATTAAGACAGCACAAATAAAATGCCTCATGAACTTCTGTGCCATTAAGATCAAACAGTAAGTTTTCATCATTAGACTTTTGTACATACGCTTCAACTCCTTCACGAAGTCGAATACAAGGGTCCGGATCGGAGAAGTCGGATGATGGGAGTAGGGATGTAAGCTGACCAAACAATAATCGCAATTTATCCATAACGAGATCAAAGGTAGCCACCTACATGGAAATTAAAAAAGGCACACACTAGACACTGTAGGAGTTTCAAAACTAATATAAAATATAAAGGAATACATGGCTTTTCACAAGAATGTTCAATATACAACCATAGTCAAACATACTTTGCGTTTATAGCTCACTACGTAATCGCTACTTTTATTACTGCGTTAACTTTAGCAATCGCATGTTATTTACTTTCGAGATATTTGGGAAAGATCTGTTACAGACATATACTTAGCAGACTCCATACACCTTTCAGGCAGATAACAAAAACTTTTGAGACAATAAACCAACCAAACAGAGTTCATGGTTAACATACATGAAACAAAGGTTATCTGTACTACCACCAAGCCAACGGGCAAGAAGTAGTGTCCGAATGTATAAAATAAGTCTGAGTCAAGTATAGATATTAAATAATAAAGACATAAATCTGGATAAATACTCGTAACTTGGTGATTTATCACATTTTGGATGCTATCCGCCTTAAACGTTAAACTGGATGCAACAACGACAGAACAGGAAATAAAAAACAATGTACTGAGAGAGCAATATTAAATAAAATCAAATATCTGTAGCCCACAACCCCATCTTACAAACAAGGGAAAATCACATTATAATATACTGAATAAAATTTAGGGAAGAACAATTTTAAACCTCAAAACTAGGACTGAGCTGGAATTTTTCCTCAAACTAAGTTGAAATCTAGGAGTAACACATAAAACGCTGTGAGACTTTTGCAGTTGTCCCCACTCTCCACACAATTTACACAAGCCTAATCAAATTCACTGCAAAACTACGACAATTTCTAATCGTTTAGGAGAAAGCCATAAATTATTTATAGTTTGAATAAATCCCGTAGTATTCATCTTGAGATAATGTGCAATACATTGGACTGGGGAAATCCCCTAAATTTCCACTGGAAAGAAACGTATTTTCTCCACTATTCAGAAATGAAGTAGCATCGTTTCGCAAACCTAACACTTAAAGAAATATTTGCCCACTTACAAAGCAGTTTCTAAGATGCTTCGTTCTTCACATATTTTTAATGGAAATTTCAAAAGAAAATAATCTACAGAGCAAGTGTTCTTGTCCTTTACAACGACAGATCAGCTCCTAATGTATGGATTCAATTTACTGACATGGTTCGACAGATCACTTAAGGTCGTTACAACTTGTGGAAAGTTGATATTACAAGTGCGTGACCTGTCGGTGTAAAAATAAACTGAGTGGTTCAGAAGTTAAGCGTTCGTGCGCAAAATCGAAGGTTTTGGGTTGGAATCACGTATGAGACCGTGGATGCGCACTGCTGAGGAGTCCCATACCAGGACGAAACAGCCGTTACGTCTTTCCAGGTTTCCAATGATGGCCTAACAATGATCGATTCATGACCTCAACCAAAGTAAAGACAGGTGTTAGTGGAGCTTAGTTGTTAACAACACGGTGAGAAATATATGGAAGCACATGAGAAAACGCTTGAAGAACTAAAGACTTTAGAAGATACATTGCAAGACAGAAAATTCAGAGATCAGTTCATCAGTTGTTTAGTAAGAATGATGTGATAAAATTATAGGAGTAATCTTCGCAAGTCTATAAAGGAGATTTTAGTTTACGTTAGGAAAGCTAACCGGGCAATTAATTACATTTCATATGGGACTAAAATTGAAATGGGGATAAGTGGTTATAGATCCTACAGAAGGATTCAAAGTTAAAATTAGAACAAACAGTATTGATTATGTATTCTATGTTCGCGGTTTCAAAGTGCTTCCTGTTACGAAAAATACATCAGACGAGTGATGGATGCTGAGAGCCGAGCTTTCTTACACAACTCAAGGGATAAAGTACATCAGTATGTATGGTGATCCAAAAACAAAGACGTTACACAATAATAATGGGTTATTCAATATATATATATATATGATTGTTGGTTAGAAGTAGGAATGTCACAAAAGACTTTTATTCAACAGCAATCGTCACAGACCTGAAAGATTGTAGTACATACACTTTTTATTGAGTCGGAAAAAAATCATATTCATTTACTAAGTCAGTCAGCTACAACGTAGGATCAAGCACATATATGCATCGGTCCAAGTTGCTACACCTCATCAGCACAACAAAATCAACATCAAATTCATAAAAGTAGTTATTTCTATGGTAGTAATATATAAAAGAAAGATTGTGTATAAGGATACAGTACAGGAAGAAAGAATCAGTCTGTAAAAAGAAAAATATGAAGCAATTCTAATCTCACGGTTTAAGTGAAAACAAAGAGTGTATACACCTACGCCATCGTGATCGATTCTCAATCATGTCACAGTCTTCAACCATTGGTTACGATAAACGCACCAACCACAACCAGGTAGTCTGCATATACCAACATGGCTCAGACTAGAAGTTAGTAACTTCAAGGACTGGTTCTATGTTTTGGTTTGGCCGCCCCTAACTTCCAATCATCCCCAACACTAGTCGGCATTGTGCGTCGTGGTAATCGGTGTTCAGGCATACGTTATGTAGAAATTACTAATTGAAGTATATTTTCAGCAGTGCGACTGGGAAATATGGGAAAAGAAATTTCCCAATGAAACAAACAAAAAGCGAAACAGTACAAGATGTTGGTGGTCACGACCTGAAAAACCCGGATAAGAACGTCACTGTTCGAAGAAGTACCGATGCGGCTGTCTCGAGCGACGGAAACTGGACGACAATGCAGAAATAAAAAAAATGAAAAAAGCCACCAACGGCGCTTTTTTGGTTGATAAGTCTTTGGTAGACTACCACTCTGAGCCACAGAACATTCTAACAAAGTTCCTAAATAAAATTCGAGTTAACCATAGTGCTTAGAAAAAGGTTAATCTAATCGAACATTATTGTGCGTAGTTTGCTAGAATCGACTGACCCAAGAACTAGATATACACATGATTTGCGAAAGGCTGGAAAATATATTTGCAGCATCTTCCCAGATGACTCTATAGGAGTTCAAACAAAAACCACGATAAGAATGGGCAAGAGTACCGAGGAAAATGTTGAGCCCCGACCATGCAGACTTTTTAGGGTAATCCTAGGACCGGAAAAACAACGAAATCTTTTCTTAACTGGCGCTCGGAATAGAGATGACACCGACACTCGAGAAAGACCTAGCAAGTCTCTAGAATATAGAATAAAGAAGGCGTCACTAGCTGGACAAGATCTTCGCTTAGTGGGTTTTAAGTAATCACTTCTTGGAAGCGAATGTAACCAAGACCTGTATGGAGAAGTCGTTGTCTTTAAGAGTTTTGTCTACAAATGCTCGTAGTCTGCGAAATAAATTTCATGAACCAGGAATATTTGTGGACGGATTAAAGGCACTCATAGCAGCTTTGATCGAAACTTGGATAGTCCATGACTTTGACGTTACTCTAGGATTATTAGAATACAACTACCTGAGGAATAGATAGGAAACAGACACAAGAAAAGGGCTCGGGTCCGTAAGGATATAGTTAATAACATAAGTTTCTATCCCTTTATTTGTAAATTTCATGACAGTGGAACTTGTAAAGTCACTAGCTGTGAACTCACTTTGAAGGTTGCACATTTATACTCGGTGTCATCTACTGTAGCCCAATATGCATAGCTGATAACTTTATTTGTGTCCTTTCACATGGCTTAAAAGTCATCCGAATAATCTTTTCCATTAGTTTGATGGCACCTGGGAAGCATCATCGATGAACAAGGATCAGATGCAGATGAAAGGCGAGGATTGGCAAGGCAAGGGCCACATCCCTACTATTAAAGAACACATGGAACTCAACTTTCAACCAATATCAAAGTCACAATCTTCAATACGAACGTCAAGACGGTTCTACTGTACGGAGCTGAAACTTGGAGAATTACAACAACCATCATCAAGAAGGTACAAGTATTTATATTTAGTTGTCTACGCAAGATACTCAACATCCGTTGGTCGGATACCATCGGCAACAGCCTTCTGTGAGAGAGAACAAACCAGCTCCCAGCTGAAGAGGAAATTAGGAAAAGACACATATTACGCAAATCATCAAACTGCATCATGAGGCAAGCCCTAACTAGGAATCCTGAAGGGAAGAGGAAAAGTGGAAGGCCAAAAAACACATTGCGTCAGGAAATAGCAGATATGAAAAGGAGGAACAACAAGTGGAAAGGATTTCTTAAGGCAGGGTTGGATGGAGAGTGCTGGCGGACTGCCTATGCTTATCCACGAGGAGTAACAGGCGTAAGTAAGCAATTAGTTTGACGACTAACGGACCAACAGTTACTAAGTCTCTGTTCTCCACCTAATACACCGGACTAATTATTACGTCTTTCCAGTCTCCTGACAGTTTGGACAGCCGCAGAAACATCACACAGGTTAGTCGTAAGTTCAGCAATTACATCCAACAGGGGTTTCATAAACCTAGGGTGAATATCGTCAGGACTACTGGACTTATTAGCTTTTTTGGCATCGTATCTTGCCAATATTAACGAACTTTCTTGTACCAAAAGTGACGCGATTCCACCACTTCTCTGAGTTCGCCTTTTTATATATGAGAGTAACCTTTTCGGACTATTTTCACAATCCCTATCCAGTTGTTTTTCATATGACTGTCTCACCTTACTTATCAACGCTTTACAAGCATTCCTAGTCCTACAATAACTAGGTCTGTACTGTTTCGAACCAGTAGAGATCAGCATACTCCAGTGTTTTTCCTACGTCCAGGAATTTCATTGACTTTTTTAGTTATCGATAGTGGACAGTTATTTAATTAACCAATTGGTCTACGTTGTACTAGGCATGGTATGAACGAGGGTTTGTTCAACAGCTTCGGACAGAAACGAGTGACTAGAATGGATCCGATACGATTGCTTGTCAGTCTTACTTTTAAATTTGTTCATGTTGTTGGTCATTTCCATGGTTTGCTTTTAAAGCAAAAACGAAGAAATCTGTAACCGTCTTAGTCTTGTCAATCTTGTATGTGGCTCATATTTTCAACTGACGTACTCTACAAGAAAATGGTCGAAAGTGTGCTGAACGACTCAGTTTGCGGACCGATTTACGCGCTCAAAGAACAGACGCTTACATCCAAATATAGCGGTTAGTAAAACCGAAAAATAAATGATTCTTCAAGCCTTCGACATTGATATTGACATCACTAGTCTTACCGGACACGTGCTAGCTAAATGTGATCGGTCACGCATCCTCACCAGGTCACGAGTGGGTACGCAGTGCTGTAAATCTCTCACAACTACTAGCCAACTTAGACCAAACGTTTCTCGACATATCGATAGCTTTCCAAATTTATCTTCGAATCTCCCCAGTTCTAACTTCTGATTTGAATGAGTAAATAAAACCTCATAATAAAGGTGTTGCGTGTAATATCGAACACTTGTGGCATCTTTAGTGGCGAGTCCTGTGTGAGCCCGAACATTAAACAGTAAACTATCAGTTTGTTCCTTAATGTAAAATTGCCTATAATGTTTAACTGCTAATTTTACATGTAGTGATATTGTTTTATATTTAGTATATTTTTCGATTTTTTGTGCGTCTTATCTTCATTATGACGGAATATACACCTAAGCTGTTTCAGACTAAGACTCTTTCGCCTTCCACTTTTCAACTCAGGCAATTCTTTTGCGATAATATAAAAGCCTGGTTCTGCTATGCAGAAGCTGACTTTCACGAGTATGGTGTGTACAATTCCTAACAGTAGTATGGGCACTAGCGAGCACATGATAAGCTTTATAAACTGAACAATCCATGGACATCTCCCTTGCACATGGTCTCTGAAAAAACAGTAACGATTGGCGTCCGAATAGTGATTATCGGCGACTGAATACGAAAACGATTCCCGATCATAAATCTTTGCCACACATCCATGACCTGACAGCTACCTTATAAGATGCAACTGTTTTCTCGACATATAAGAATGTTCGTCTAAACTTGACAGTATTTGGGCGCCGAGTTGATGTGGAACATTAAAGAGGAAGAATGTATTTGTAAAACCTCAGCAAATGAATTTAAAGTAAATCCAACGTTTTGCCTGGCAATCTGATCCAAGCTTTTTCAAGGAAATATAATCAAGCATAAAAATTACAGAATATAAATAGGTACACGGTTTTCTGATTCACTGTATTATAAATAGGTCAATTCAATCAACGTTAACAATGTTTAAAGTAGGTAATTACTATGTCAGAGACCTGTGGTACGAAACGACAAGTGTTAAGATAACAGATATACGTAAGCGGTGAGAGAAATGTCGCTCACTATATGTAGTCTCTGGTCGGTGAATTTTTACGAAAACATACAATTTTTATATATCATATGAATCATATATGTCACAGCATGTATAAAATGAAGATAAAGAGAAAAAAATAAAAGAAAGAATTCTCAAAAATCCTAGGATCGTTTTGTGTCCATATACATCTACGAGTGTTTTTTAATATTCACTCGATAGAAAACACAATGACGGTGCAATTACACACGAACACTTTAGATCAATATCTGGCAGTCGTTGGAATTATTGCTCAAACACCACCATAATTGTGAATATATATCTGATTACAATTGATTGATCACTGGGTGGTGACCAATGTCTTGCTTGTCTAGTCCTTATTAGTGCAGATCGAATGCTATCGATCATGTTGCAATGTGGCCACCAGTCTAGGTGACTCGACACTGCGGGCACTATGTATTAAGATTTAGATGGTGGTTGGAGGTAGTCAACAGGAAACCCTGGACCCGGGTTTCGTGCTATTTGGCACTCGTCAGCAAGGTGTACCTGTAATCTTGAGGGAACTGGTGCTCCCTGGCGGATTCGATCTCGTGTCACCCAGCTTCACAGTCAGAGACGTCAGTCAGAGACCTACGAAAACAGACTATTCTGATAATCACAACTCATATATTTTTACGTACTCGTTTTTTTAGTTCTTTAAAATCGTCTTTTGTGTATGTTTTGGAGAATTGATTCAATGTATTTTTACATTTCCATTGGCCCGTCACAATATACCTATTATCCATTCGTTAGTTATTTTTTTGTTTGGTTTCGTTCTGTCAACTACAGTACTGCTTTCGGTGCTATACAATTTGCGTTCCACGACAGTTGGACGACCTTAGTAAGTCGAGACTGAACTATATTAGTTTGACGAATCAGCGTAATAACAAACGGATTCTTTTTCTGTCTTGTCTTTATGTTGGGAAATGATTCAATGTATTATAAGCACTCGCTGAAATAAGCTATGCAATATGTAGCGGGTGATTTGCAATTTGTTTATCTAATCCCAGACGAATAAACTTGGTAGGTTAACATCTTGGTCAGTATTAGGCTCATTTATCTTTGCTTATAGAATATAAGACCTAATCACAAAATTATAGGTTTCTCATGATGTGACTATCAAATCTATAAGATCTTAAGTGGAAATAACATTGTTGTCTATACTGGCTCGTCCTATCACGACAGCCAGTAATATTCTGTGTAGGAATTCAGAAAAATATATTTGGACTTGGAAAAGAATATATTTAGTATGGAAAAAAAGAGGTTGGCTAGAGTGAGCATGCCTGTATGGTCAAGACATGACATACTAATTAAATATCTCGCGTTGATCACTTTTGACCTATTCTAAGTGGTAAAAGTTGAATAATAACATTTTCATTTGAGAACCAGTGCCACTAAAGATTCATAGTAGGTGAATATAGCTGTTAAAACTAATTGTTGCCAATTCACTTATAATTACAGTAGTGATCTTATTAGTCTACCATATGCAATGTAAAGAGTAATTTTAAGTCAACAAAGAGATAGAATAGGATGATGTCGATAAAAGAACTTTCTAAACTCGTATTCCAACGACGAACAAGAATGAATATGGCAATGCGCGGAAAGAACAATGAAGGTAATAATAATTAGATGAATGTGAGTTTGACATGCTCCATAGAAATGAAAGATAGAAGTCCTACATGGGACTTAGAAGGATAAGATTTAGATTCTAGCGGACTTCAAATCGCACCTATTTTTCGTTGCTACGGCGAAATGGAATGTCATTTTTCTTCTTTTTATTTAATGTAGAAATTCATCATTTTAAATTAAAAAATATAATGTTCAATTTGATGGTATGTAGATATCTTGTTTTATGTCTTACATGAAGTACTGAGCTACACAGCATGTGTAAAGCTGAATTATCGGCTGACAAAAACCCATAGGGTGATAACCAGTCTGTATTTCAGATGCAGACCAAGAAGGTTTCAAGCCAAATCTCTTGAATTAGTTTTCACTAATACCACAGTCACTCATGTCAAATACACGCTGGAATATTACACCACGTGAAGATACAGCAGTTAAAGTGGCGGTTGTAAACGAAGCAATGATGCAAAACATCCATGTATTTGGACAACTCATTACAGCTGGAGATTATGGTATATGCTGGAAAATCTGCATCGCAACGCTTACAGTACATTACATGGATACATCAAAAAAATGTCAAGTTCTTCTTGAATTGGCATTGTTTATAAAAATCTGTTTTCTCTCTTGCTTCTTTAGCTTAAGTTCGCAAAATTACGGCTGAAGATGCAGATGATTATATGATACATTACGTAAAAACATGTTTAGATCATAAATAAAAATCTTTGCAAGACACCGATTAATCCTTCCAGTATGACTTTTGGTCCGGTAGTCAAACAAATGAAATATAGAGTGATGATCTATTGACAGGCCATTCATACGCAACTACGTAAGTTTTAAATTGGTAGTAAGCATATAGTTCCGAATTGATACAAGCTGCTTATCCGGTAGTTAATAAAACTCTTTTGAAACAAGGTACCCGCTACAGAACACTATCAATATATAAATGGATTACAACATAATCCACAACATATGTAAATAATGTTATAAAAATCATGACTGAGATGCACGGAATTTTACGAGACGGCGTAGATGATGAGCTTTCTAAATACGATACTTCTGAAAATGTGTAACAAGTATTACAATAAGATAAGAGCACGAATGATATATGGCAGGCACAACGGAAATAATGTGAGTCTTTAAAAGCTAACACCGTTTGCTTCCATTTCGAACTTAGGTATACGGTTAAAAATGCGTAAATTATTCTTATTACAATCATTGTATTTAGAATTTTATCCAGTGCTTTCAACCTCCCTTAACTAATTGTCAAGCAACGTAATTGGACAGTAGTGATGAATTTCGAAGTCAATATACTTATTTAGTAAATTGGTGTCGCAAAAAACCTACATCGCGTTAGTAACCAAACTACCGATTGTTTTAAAAATAAGACTTTACAAGTGTTAGGTCCGAAAGTTACATAAATTAAATTCAGTAAATTAGCAAATCACATCCTGGATTCTCGATTAACAACGAGTTGAAGGAAAAATTCCAGAAGTTCAGCGATTGGATCTCTTTCCGACGTATTTATTATCAGTCTGTACAACAGTGTTAATATGAACAACTATAGTGGCTTATCATCATTAATCAATTATATTTACAACCGTTATTAGATTGTAGCGTGGTGTCGAGTCCCAGTTGACTATGAACACCACTACAAAAGAACACGTGCCAAATAAATCAGAAGGCGAAGATTGAATGTAACCAGATTTATTCGTTGGAGATCTCGTGGTATCGAATTAAAACCGAGATCGTGCCAAAAAATGTACAAGCGGAGGAAGTATATGCGAACGGGGTCACGAACCGCGAGCGGTAGTGGAGAATAATGGAAGAAAAATGTGGCTGTCTCTAGCACAGTTAAACAAACGAGCACAGTAAAACAATCATTAGTACAATTGGTTATAATAATAATTGCTTTGATTAAACTAATCGCGTTCTCTTGATAAAAGTAGGTCACTACAATATAAACCCCAAAGGTGTTTGAAATCAGAAGGCAATAAGCGGAGGCAACTACAGTTTATTAGTGGATAGCACGGATAACAACGCTACAAGCACAGCGAGAGAATTTGAAGCGAAGAGGCGAATATGTGTATGCGAGCAATTACACAGGCAAATTTGAAGTCAAATCGAATTAGGCTCAGCAATGCAAGACAAAGGCTAATAATAAAATTCGAGTACATATACATGGAAAAGAGAATGACT